TGTTACATAAACAACATTCATTGTGCTCTGAAGAAGTGATAGCTGATGTGCAAGCATAGAGTATATCTATGATTTCACCAACTACTTTCTTAAATTCAATTGTATCCATTATGAAAAATTCCTATTTTCAAAAGCTTACAATTTTTTAAATATATTTCATAGGCACACAAATTCCCCTTTTAAAATTTCTTTCAAATACCGATTTCTGTTTGATATCTATAAATTCCTGTTTGATATTTAAAATGCCAATTAATATTAGTTTTGAAATACTGTATAAATCAAAATCAGGAATGTAAAAATTTACAAGATACGCATTAAAATGATTATATCTCAAGACGACACACTACACACTGTTTATACCACACTTAATTTCTTTTCAGAATATACATACTGTACACTCAATCAATACAGAGATTCAAGCTTCTGGTCTGTACTTACTTTTGCAAAAGAATCCCTGTTAGTAATTTCTTCTCTGTTCCTCATTCCTTTTGTTTCCTGTCAACAGAGATTTAAGCTTTTGTTTCAAGTTTGCTTTTGCAAATGAGAATTTGTTGTCCTGTATGTAGTGATTTGTTGAATGTGTCAATTTGCTTTATGTTGTTTCTTTGTAAATTTATATTCTTTGTAAATTCAATGTTCCATTAATTTCAATTCTTTGTATATTCATGAAATTCTTTCTTTGAAAATTCTTTCTTTCAAAAGTGTTACGGCTATATTCTTCAAAGAGATTCTCTCTTTGTAAATTCAATATATTCTTCAAAGGGATTCTCCTTTTCTAAATTCAATTGTTTCTTTCTTTTTCTTTTCTTTGTATATTCAACTTATTTTCCTTTTCTTCTTCTTTTCTTTTCTTTTATCTGAACTGAAATGAAATCGACAAAAGAGATGATAGTGAAACAAATGAAGGTGAAATGTATAACAAGTTGAATGAAAATAAAAATTTGAAAGACATAAAATTCCAACAGCCAGATACCTACAGGGAAAGAAAGAAAAAAAGAAGTAAATTATGTGGCTGCAATCAAGAAAATTACACAATTACTAAAAATTCAAGACTATGAATGTTTAAGTGAAACTCATGCTATTTATTGATAGCACTGTTATTTTCACCAGATTTAAGTGACTGTTGTTCTCCACAAAAACTCTGATCTTTACTTTATTTCATTTATTCATCAAAACCACAAAAACAATGAGAACAACCTCCAAGAAACCCCCATAGACCTTATAATATGAGGCCCACAAGATAACCTACTCACAGTTTAACAATATTGAAAGAAAACTTTTCAAAAACTATAACTGTCACAACTACTCACTAATGTATGCATTAAATTTGGCTTGCATTTCACTTTTCATATGAGCAACTAATCTTTCCCAATTGATATTGCAGTGTTCTCACTTTATATCATTTTGCTTGCATATTTCACTAATGTAAATTGATCACTGAATTTGATGTGTTGGCAGTTTGCAATATTTAACCAACAAAGGCACTGTGTATTGACATGCTATTATTCTCTTACAGTATATCTATTAAATAGGATTGAAGACTTTGATTTGTTTCATATTTCATTTCTTTCAATCATATTATATTTTAGAGCAGATTAATGACCTTTTTTCAGCAAAACACCTTAGCTCACAAATTCAATTGTGTAATCTGAAAGACAAAAAAATACATGAACATCATTCAATGTTATATATTAATTTACAGATCAATTATACTTGCACTGTTTTAGACCAATCAGTGCTAAACCATTCACTACTTCTTCTATGATACAGGAAGCGAAGAAGTCACTAAAATACATAACAATTACAATACGCATACCACGCAACAGCAGTGTATACAACCAAAGTCATTTTGTTATACACAATGAAACAAGCAGCCAATTGCCACAGTACTTCATGTCGTAAATATGGCAAAACATCAACTGGAACATACCTTGTACTTGAGAAGAATTGGAGATCAAACAAGTTTTACTACAGCATTATTGCCTTAAAAAAGTACAATGATTTATTTTGTACTTCCGTGACAGCTACTGTAAGTGTAAGATCTTCTTATGTTATAAGAACAGCAACAGCTTTTGTCTAAGCTTCGGCCCAGCCTAAAGTATGCCTACTGTATGTCAGCCATCCTGCTTCTAAGCAAGGCTTAAAGTAATAACAGTAATAAAGGCCTAGGTCTAGCAAAATACATTTGCTACGGCACTGAAACTAGGCTATCTTGACTTTACACTTAACCGTTCTTATGGAAAACTATCAAACGAATAAGTTTAAGCTTCGAATTTCAACTTCTTTTTAAATAAATGCCTATCCTACGCTACGCACCCCATACCCCCAGGCGTATAAAAAGATAATACACATCACTTGTGAAACGTGTTTCAGAAACAAACCCTAGAAAAGTCAGTGCAAATACTTCAACTTAAAAATGTATATTGTTCTCTCTCAAAATGTTTATAACGCCAATCATTACGTTCAGACATGATATAATACTGTGTAGGAGAAAGACCCAAAAATACCTGTTCGAAAGAACCAGGGAAACTCATTCGGTTTACGCTTACGCTAGCTGTTGTTTGTTGTAGAAATAAAAAGATGCTTTCACCTAAGAATTATACACAGTCTGAAGTTTGCCCATTCATGCTGATCTAAAATGTGGTTTTATTATAGAGATACTTACAACAAACGTAATACCCTCTGAAAATGCTTGAAAACACTTAATAGTAGTAATTATTTCACAAACAACAACCACGCTGCGTATAAAATAATTGGGTGACGTGTTAGATTAGATATGGGACGCCGGAAGCGCTTTCTGTCGACATGGCTTTGAAGCAAGAGAAAGCGTCGTTGAGCACAAACCAAATTGCAGGAAGGGCCAATAAGAAGTATATAATGTACATATATTTTTTTTGTAAACAATCTATATGTCTGTTTTGATGCATATTTAGAAGAGAATTAATGTTAATACTCCAGTTAATACCTAATTTAATGGGAATCCATTTGACATATACATTGTTTAATGTTTTAAGTTCCTTGTTTCCTAATAACTTTGAATGATCAATATGTATTTAACGTTTAAGCTGCATTTGTTGTTTTACTGTGTTACATCTCAACAGAAGAATTGGCATTCATTTCCTTGTGCAACCATTATACAGTGGCGTATCTATAGCAGTATTAAAATGGGGGGGGGGGGGGGGGGGCGACCAAAATATGAGGAGGCGTGGAATTTATTTTCGGTGGAAAAATATTGCTTCTTAGATTCCCGAATAGTAAATACACGTTAACACGTGACAAATATGTTAAAGTATATCTCTTGACCATGATATCACTGTGTTTTGATGAACGTCAATAAAGGGAAGTTGGGAAAGCATTAACCCATTTTCTTGAGCATAAGCCTAGCCTAATTTTTTTGCTTTGAAGTTTTCGAATGGTGGAGCGACGGGTGGGGGGGGGGCAAGCTTTTTGTTGGGGGAGTGCGCCCCCCCCCCCCTTGGATACGCCACTGCCATTATATAAGGCAACACGTTGCAAATTCATGCATATTTCATTTGCATTTTTTCATTTATTTACTAATTTTGGTAAATTTCCAACTGACAAAAATGTCTTCTATGTTGTTGCGGTTTCGGGAGGCAGTCTCCCTCAAAAGCAAACAGCATGAAGATGCGATCAGTTTTGTTGAGGTAGGTCCTACATGTGGTTATTAATATAAGGAATGTTCATCACGGTATAGTGTTCTTGGCAAGACATCTCATGCCTTTTAGGATACGGATGCAATAGTGCCGATTTCGCCGTCTCAACATGACTGGACACCGTACTCAGGGAAGACATTTGTTGAATAAGGGTATCCAATCAAATGGGTGTGGTCTTGTCTGTCAGCAAACACAAAAAACTGTCTACTGAAATTCCAATGATTTCCAAATGTTTGATAAGAAGACTAGCTAAAATAGATAGTAATATTACTCTACCTGCATTTTAAAGTTCAGTAGTCAGTTGTATTCTTTGTAAAGGGTGCAATAAAATGTGGTTATTTTTGTCTTTATATACTAATTCTGGTATATTTAAGAAATGGTATAGCTTTTTTATATGAAAAATGTGCATGATTTTTTATTTATTTTTTTTATAAGCCCCACGCACTTGGACTTTATGTATTATACGTAAAATTGAATGTGTAATAAAGTTTGTGGTCATTCATTGATATTTCAGGCTTAAAACTTCAATCCAACATCAAAACCTTCCGAGCCACCTCATCTTGTTGTAATGTCAGACAGGCTCAAGGATGCGATATATACCAGAAAATTTCTTTTGGCCAATGCTGAAATTATCGAATGTTCAGCATCTGGCCTTGATAGAATGGTCTTGTTCTCAATGTCCACACATTATGCATTGGACTTATAATATCCAAAACAGTACCAGAACCTTGGCTTTTTACAGTCACATGTTTTCCAACATGATGTTCAGGAGAACAAACTTGAGAAATTTTGAAAAACAATTTGAGTTAGAACTAAAGCATCTGTAATAAATAATAAGATTTTATAGTGCATTTTGCCATATTTAACTACCTGTCAAATAAATCTACAGTATTCCATCTGGTACATAGTATTATTCAAGATAGAATAATGTGAACAGCTCTTTTTTTTTATTTTAATTTATATTTATAGTTCAATGTTCTGTATTGTAATATGGAAGCTTCCGTGTCCATCAAATTCTTGGAACTTTTACTATCTTCAACATTTATTATTTAATGTGAATGGATGCTTCCATGTCCATTACATACAAGGAATTTTTACTATCTTCAACATTTATTAATTATTAATGTATAAATAAACTGATACTTTTCTACTTTAATTTCTACTTTTAATTGCATAATGGAAGCTTCCATTTCCATCTGATAAATGGAATTATTATTTCAACATTTATTAATTAATTAGTAAACTGAATAAAATTCTATAATTTAGTACAGTTTTGGTTGGTTTGAAATAATGTTTTCCCATCCACAGCATGCACTGAGTACAGTATATCTTCAAATCCAAATTTATTCTGCTCAAAATGTCACAAACAGTATGATCGCAGACAATGATTCAAGCTTATGGCAACTTCGAAAACTAAACACATGCCAAAAGCTAAACACGTATTGGATTACATGTGTGGACAAAGTTAGTATAGACAACATGTTTAAAATCTAAACACTTGGAAAAGCCAAACATGCATCAAGCTAAATGTGTGGAAAAAGTGGGTACAAGCTATGCATTTAGAATCTAAACATCTGGCAAAGCTAAACATGTATCAAACTAAACGTGTAGAAAGAGTGGGTACAAGCTATGCATTTAGAATCTCAACATCTGGCAAAGCTAAACATGTATCAAGCTAAATGTGTGGAAAAAGTGGGTACAAACTATGCATTTAAAATCTAAACATCTGGCAAAGCTAAACATGTATCAAACTAAACATGTAGAAAAAGTGAGTACAAGCTATGGATTTATATAATCTAAACGCAGTTTTTACAGTGTACTAATAGATGCTACCATTCCACATGACATTACATATTTTACTTTAACTGGCAATTGTACTTCATAATCAAACGCCACATCTTCTGGAATATGCACTGATTCTCCTGTCTCCATAATCACTTCTATTGGAAACCTTAAAAAAGAACAAACTCACATCAAAAATATAATAATGCATTTAATAAAAAAAAAAAACCAAACATTATTCACAAAACAATTTGTTTCATTCACAACCCTGAATTAAATTAGTAATATAAAAAGACATACATGAAGGAAATACCATCAGGCACAACATCATAATCATGATTGTGGTTGAGATAACGACAATTTTAAAGTACGACACTTATAAATACCCATAAATTGCACTCTAAAAACATTAAAATTAACTTCAACATTTCAAACTGTATACTTTCTATTTTTGGCATCAAAATAATTAAGACACCCAATCCCCTTCATTCCATCACTTTCAATTCCATTACAATTCCTCATTCAATTATATTTCCTTAAAGAAAAATTTTCTAACGTATCTGTGTACAAAGCAGGACAATGTAATATTAATATAAATATAATACTGTAATTTACATACCCACTCTCAACATCTACAGAAATTATCACTCCTGTCTTTTCAGAAGTCTTTGAAGTTGAAGAACACTATAAAATATACAAAGCAAAATTTCACTTTATAACAAAAACTTAAAATTTAGAATGACAGCTTCATGAGTTCACCACAAAGAATGACAACTTCATGAGTTCACCACTTTCAAATGTCTTTTTCTAAGCTTATTTTAGACAATCTCTGAAAACAATAGACAAGTTACATAGAAATTATGCACAGCTTAAACTATATGCAATAATAAAAAATATTACAATCCTCTACAACTAAATAAATATAATCGTTCTGGTATTAGGCTCCTCGAAATTTTACTATAATAAAAATGCAATTTGTAAGTAATTTATTACATTCTTTAATAGTTCTTAAACTTTTTATTGTTGTATTGTCAATTTTTAAATTATTACTACTTTATTTGTTTATACTGCCAAAAGCAAACAAATTCTAATTTCTATTCTCAGCAATAAAAGTTATTTTATTCTTTTAATACAAAACATTTCACCACTGACAAAATTACTTTTTCAAAATTTACTTTTACAATTATGCCTGCTCTTTTCCCAAGAAACTGACTACTACCTTACACATACCTATCCACACAAAAAAAATATACTTTTCAAAATAAAAATTATTCCAAGGCACATAATACAACTATATGAAAATTAACTACATTTATATAAAAAATAATACAGTGGCGACACCAAGATTTGCCTATCTGGGAAAAAATGGAACAATTTGAGAGTTTCAAAGGGTTATTTAATCAATATATTCCATTTATATATACAAAATACTAAAAATATTTTTTTTTTCTCAAGTCCATCTAACAAACTTGCGCCGACAAGAGAGGAGCCTTGCTAATGCCTTAACCCTGCCCCCACCCACTCTGGCGCCACTATATATAGAACATCGTATTATTAACTTCACACCTACTTCAACAGTACTTGACAGTGTCGAAATCACCCTCCCATGGTCTTTTACTACGGCAGTAATTGTCACACTATCTCCTGATGATAAATTAACTTTCGCATTCTCTCCCCACAGAACCACCGTCTTCTAATTGAAGAGAACGCCTTTTATAGGCATGACCATCAACAAATTCTCCAATCTAAATGTAAGAAAAAAACAGTTGAAAAACAAATCACACTCATAAAACTGTACAGTCCATTATATTTGTAAGCAATATGTCAATTTAACAAAACATCTACTGACAATATAGTCAGCCACCACATCAATCCTCCCAATCAACAACTATATCAATATTAACAGTAACCACGAAACTATAATAAAAAAAATACAACTTTAAAATTTCAGACAATACCTAAACATAAAATAAACATTACAAGGCAAATTGAATGTAAAAATACTTGAATACAAAATCCAATGAGCGTACCTAAATGCATTATGTCTGTCTTTTCCATAAAAAATATCAACATCAAACATTATCCCTCAAATGACAATTAAATATCAATATCTATTGTTAACAACAGAAAGTACACACAAGTAAACTAAATTTTATATTGTAAAACACTAGTAAAAGGTCCACTCAATAATCTCAGATAAGAAAATATTCTACATACTCCAAGCATCATAATCTCAAAATATTAGAAAATTCATGTTGAAATATTAAATCCTAACACCATGTGCATTTCTATAATTGAAGTATGTATTATAAAAAAAAACACTGCCATTTGTAACAATGCCAACACATATAAAGAAAACCTAATTATAAAAAAAAATTACCTCTACAACATCTCCACAAACACTCATTCTTCTTTTTACTGGCGATCCTCTCGCCTCCGCGACAGACACTACCTCAGGTTTAATAAAAGATTCTACAGTTTCCATGCATACCGGAAAATCACTTACCCTTGCAAGCACCTGAAAAATAATATAAAATAAACAATATATACAATTTTTAAAAAAATTACACCATTCACTTAATATTTCTTTTAGTTTCAATACCAGTTTTACTTTCACCTTGCTAGTTTTAGTAGCTCTTAGACTACCGGGCAACCTTGTTATGTTCGTCATTACTATTCTTGTTCGTGCGTTTAACGCTAAGAGTCTTCGTGCCATTTCGGTATTTACATCGTTAACGTAGCATGGTACTACCTGACTTTTCACGACAGTTTCCTCCACAGTACTATCTCCCTTTTTCACGCTTTCCCATACCATTCCAATCAGGAAGCTCTTACCACTTCCCTTAATTCGCCTCTCTTCGAATTCTTCCACTATGTACAACTGTGCCATCTTGTTCCTGATCTCGAAACTCTATCTTCAGCGCCGCCTTCAGAACACAAAGTGCATGCATTATAAATTATACCAGGGTTGCCAGATAGTCGACAGGTTTCACGGCCAAACACACGCCGTCTCACGGCCAAATTCGGCCAAACATTTTTTAGATATCGGCCAAAATTCGGCCAGACAACAGTGGGTACATATTCATTTGAAATACTACAAAAATTACACGAAAATCAGCGGTCATTCGTTTGAAATTGAAGAAATTCAAATGATATACACAGAACAATGTTAAACTGTTCCACTGTTTTTCTTTTAAATTATCACCATAAAATACATGCCCAGCTACATCATAATATTAAATAGCTATGTTCTTTAGTTGCTGGCATGTAGGCCAATTCTGGAGTGAATCCAGAAATGTCGGAAGAGGGAGGGGCCGGGCCGAAAAAAAAGGGGGGGGGAGGGGCGAAAAGGTGGCCGATCGAGAACACCATCTTGGAGGAAATTTTGCTTTCTAGATGCCGGAAAATAACATTTGATGCGTTTGGGCGATCAATTATTGCGATCAATTTTTTCCTTTTTTTTTTTCCCCCCCCCCCCCCCCCCCCACTCACGTAAGTCCGTCTCTGCTATTTAAAATCTCATTTTTAAGGTTGATCTAAATTTGATTTAAATGTATTAAATATTAAGGTACATTGTAGTCGATCTATAGTCTAGTTACCAACTGTCTCACATCGTGCGGCACGGTCCCGCATTTCAAAGTGATATTGGATGAAACACGCATTTTGCAGAAACACATGCGTGATCCATAATTTGTCATGCATTAGCACAAATCTATGAGTGATAACGAATTATCACAAATTCAGGTGAAAATGTATTTAAAAATAAAAGAAATTGGTTTTATTTAAAAACTTAAACGATCATGCAGAAACTTGAGTCATTAGAGAGTACTATTTACGTAAATATTTATTTCACTGACGCGTTACTAAACATTTCTCAGTGAAATGTTTAGGTCAACATAGTTCGTTCTCAGTTACATTGAAACTCAAAATATTTTTGCTTATGTACCCGGTATTATCAACACACACTCCCTGAAATCGTTTTAAAACAGCTTTATGTCAATAAGAATTTGGTCTCGAGATAGCATTAAAACATTAAGTGGGTGTTTTGAAGTTACAAATTGGGATGCCTTCTTTGAAGGAGCTACGTTAAATGGAGCAACGGAAGCAATTTCACATTATATTGATTTTTGTGTCAAGTCTGTTGTTCAAGAAAAGCAAATCAAAGTATATCCGAACAACAAACCATGGCTCAATGGAAGTATTAAGAAATTATTCCAAAGAAAGTATAAATGCACTGATGAAATGAACAGAAAAGAAATACAAAAAGAGATAAAACATGAGGTTTCACGCTGCAAGAGAAAGTATGGACAAAAGGTAGAAGAAAAGTTCAAGTCTGGAAATACCAAGCAAATGTGGAAGTGTATGCAAATGATGACAGGTTATGACCAAAAATGTGTAAATAGTGTTAAAACAGATTATTATAAAAAAAATGGCTACTGATCTTAATTCATTCTACCTGCGATTTGATAATGATCATGATTTTAGTGACATTAGGTATCAAATTGAAAATAATATTAGAGATAGCATGATAGATGTAAATCTAGCAATGATTAACACAATGGATGTTAAGCGTGTGTTTAAAACAATTAACCCTAGAAAATCTAGAGGTCCAGATGGTGTCAGTGGAAAAGTTTTAAAGGAATGCAATGAGCAATTGTCCCATGTTTTTTCTCGTTTATACAACTGGTCACTCAATTCTCATGAAGTACCTGCATTATGGAAACGCTCATTAATCCCTGTCTCTTATACACATCTAGATGTGTATAAGAGACAGGTATTACACCATAATCCCACCAAGGGATTTCTAGGAACAATCTGCCGTTTTCGAGCAATCGTTACCTACATTTACACCCCTCC